TATTTCACCCACAAGATCATATGGTTTAATACCATCAGAGAAAAATTTTTGTGTTGTTGGAGCACAAAGATCTTCTTGAAGTTACTACACAAATAAAATTAATAATTTTTACTTATGGAATTTAATAGATAAAATACCTTATATATCAGCATTAGTGCTATCAAAGAGCACTTGTACTATCAGAGAGATGTTCATTTCTAGCTCTCCTAAATTCATCCACTTCACGTAATATTTGATCAATATTTTCTTCATATCTTTCTGGTACCGGTATAAGATTTATACTTGGCTCTAGCCTGGGAACTTTCTTATGGGCCCGTTGTCACTGTAGCTCTCCATACAATGATTCAATAATATTGCAATGTTCAACATTCTCAGCGTGACGTTTCTCTTTTTCATTTCTACGTTTCTTGCGCAGGCGGTCTGTTTCCTACAATTGTCAAAATTAATATCAAAGAAAATTTTAAAATCATTACTTACCTCATTATATTCTTCTTTAGTCACTTTCAACTGTCTTTCAAGTTCATCAATACGTTCAGTGAGTCTTGTGACCTAAAATTGATACAATTAGGATAAGCATTACCACACAAAAATACAGCAAACAACATTGCCAAAACCAAGAGATTATCAGTTTACCTCTTCGTGACGTTGCTTATGAGCAGTTTGTAGTTGATCCTTTACACTAGCAAGAGATTGCCTGTGCTCTGTCACCTAGTGCATACAGCATGATGTAATAGTATAACAATGCTTTTAGTTACAATACATTTATTATCATTTTGTGGTATAGATAATGATACCAGTCACATGAGTATCAACTAACCTGAGTTTGTAGTTACCCGACTTGCCCCTTTAGTTTGTCACATTCTCTACTGTAAGCATTAACTTGAGTTATGAGGATTTGCTTTTCTTCATCTTCTGACTCATCTGCTTCTGATCCTTTACTTATTTTCCTAAGTTTCCTAGCTAATTTATTTCTTTCACTAGCTATCCTGTCTCTGTCCTCTGTTAATCTATTTCTTTCCTCAAAAATTTTTTTCTTTTCCTCTTTCAATCTTGATACCTATAAATAAAGTTAAACTTTATGTTCACCAAAAAAAGCTCGAAGTGAATGATGTATTTATGCATCATGTGACATGCCATACCTCAATGGTAAGATTAGAGATCTGTTCTGTCAACTCAATTATTTTATATTTAGCTTCAGTTACTTCTGATGCTAACTCTGACTTCTCTTTTGTTACTTCAACAAGTTTATCTCCTATCAATTTTTTCTACAAGGAAAAGATCACGGGCAGACAATACTATATCTATATTCTAACCATTTCCATTAATTCGTCAATTTGGCATTGCTCAGAGTCGGAGCCCATTTCTTTGGTTGAATTTTTAAGTTGAATACTCTGCT